TTGTGTGTGTGTGTGTGTGTGTGTGTGTGTGTGTGTGTGTGTGTGTGTGTGTGTGTGTGCGCGTGTGTGTGTGTTCATTCGAGGTCACTGACTGTGTTTGTGTGTGTGTCTGTGCAGAGCGCCGGCTGTGATGATCTCCTGGGCTCTGGTAGGGTTCCTGATAAATGCGGCGTGTGCGGCGGAGACAACAGTGCGTGTAAGCTCGTCTCTGGCCTTTTCCAGCACAGTCTGTCTAAAGTGGGCTATCACAAGATCGTGGAGATCCCGCCGGGAGCCACCAAGATCAACGTCACCGAGATGGTGAAGAGCAGGAACTACCTGGGTGAGTAAAGAGCCGTTCACAGCAGGAACCATAACTATAATAATAACTATAACCATAGGCGCCGATTTCTTTTTCCACTGGTGGGTACTCAGCACACCGACAACCCCAGTTCTTCAGTTACAAATTATAAATTCAGTTATAAATTCACATTCACATCTTCAACAGGCAGCCTAATAAAAATATTCTGAACGCTCAGCATGTTCACCTACGGTTTGGTTAGAAACATACACCTTTTCATTTTTTACATTCATCTCCGCATGAACAAATAATGACTTAAACGTAATATTCTCACTTAACAATTAGCTCAAATAGAACAAATAATTATATTGCTCCAGATTCTCAAAACGTACACAAGACACAAGTTACAAACACGGACACAACCTAGACACAAAAAAATCGTATAAAACATATTGACAGCTTCTAAGAAAAAATATTATGTATACTAAGCTTTAAATTACGACTGGCTAGAAATGCATTCTTTTTAAAATTCAGCTCTACATAAATAATAACTCAAAACATTTTGACATTCTTACTTAACGATTAGTTAAAATCCAATGACTAATTCACCCTTCTCCCGATCTTCAGTTACAAAAATGGAGCTTAATCACAAGAAATTAATATAAAGCATATCGACAGCTTCTATAAGAAATATTATGCACACACACTAAGCTATAACTTTTTCAAATTAACTGTAACAATAACTATAACTACAACAATGACTACTATGATAACTATTTTAATAATTACTATAATGATAGCTATAATAATAACTGTAATGATAAATGTAATAAAAACTATAGTGATAAATATAACGATAACTATAATAACTTTAATGATAACTGTACTGCCTACTAAAGTGATAACTATAACGATAAATACTATAGTAACTATAACTATAGCAATAACTACAACTATACAACAACAATAATAATAACTATACTACTTTCTAAAGCATTAACTATAACTATAACAATAACTATAATGATAAATGTAGTGAAAAATATAGTGATAACTATAACGATTACTATAACAATTACTATAATGATAACTATAAATATAGCGATAACTATAACGATGACTATATTGATAACTATAGCAATTACTGTAATGAGAACTCTACTTACTATAAAATAAAGAACAATAACTATAATGATAACTATAACAATAACTGTAATGATAAAAATAACTATAACAATAAAATTTTCAATTACTTTTTCAATAACTATAACGATAACGATAGCAATTAATATAACTGTAATGATAACAAATAACTATAGCAGTAACTATAACTATAACAATAAATATAGTGATAACTATATTAGCATCCAGACCAAGAATGATAATGTTAACAATAACTGTAACAGTAACTATAATATAACAACGGACAGTAACTTTCTGTTTATTCAACGCACAAGCTGCAGTTTTATCACCTGCTGCAGTCCGCCCATGACTGCAGTTTAATAAATGTTACCGCCAGTGTTGGGGAAAGTTACTTTTAAAAGTAATGCATTACAATGTTGCGTTACTCCATAAAAAAGTAACTAATTACGTTACTTAGTTACTTTTTATGGAAAGTAATTCTTTCTACGATTTGTGTTATGGTGAATGCACTGAAATGTTCTTCTGAATGCAACTACTAAGCAACCACATAACAATATTATTATAACCACATTACAATATATTGTTTTACTGCCTAAAAACTAACTGCGTTACTAACTGCATAAAAACTAACTAATTGTGTTACTTACATTTATAGAAAGTAATGTATTATGTTGCTTTTGCGTTACTTTTTTTTGGCTTACTTGCTTGTGGAATAAAAAAAAAAAAAAGAAATTATTGTTTATTAGTATGGTTGAATTGGATAATTGAAGGTCAGCAGCAAAGACATTGGTTAATAAAATGGGATTAAATACATAAAGGATATTTGCGTTATTTAACATATTTAATTATTGCAGTTTGCATCATATTCTCAGTTTGCATTTTAATGTTTTTATATTGTGTTAATGTTTTTAATGTTTTAATGTTTTATAATTCTGAATCTTTTATACAAGTGAGATGAGTAAATGTATGTTCACATTTAGTCTAGAACAACAGTAACCATCATGTTCATACAGCACACACAACACCTCTGCACTTACTCCTGATTTCTCTCAACATGGGGACAGGAGAGCTGTCAATAGGTAAAAACAAAGTTATTGGTGTTACTTAGAAAAAGTAACTCAGATATTTTCTTGTAAATTAAAAAGTAATGCACTACTTTACTAGTTACTTGAAAAAAGTAATCTGATTATGTAACTTGTAGTGCGTTACCAACAACACTGGTTACGCATGTTCTGATCGGCTGTGATTTTGTGGCTCCATTTAGTAAAGCACCAGTCTCCAAACGTGTCTTAAAAACTCAACTCTGGATGTGTGACCTGCGGCCGAAGCAGCTATTTCAGAACGCCTCACTTTAAACCAGCTGCTTGTAAAACACATCAGATCTGTTCAATCACAGCGGAAAGCATCCTAACGTATATTTCAGTCTCCCTGTAAGTGCTGGTTTGTTAGTTAAAGGCCCAGACTGAGTGAGTTTTTATAGCCTGCGGCTGCGCAGATAAACACACTCTCCATCGTTCAGCCTCCAGCTCAGCGTTTCTAATTCTAAATGTGTGACGCTTTGTGCTGCTTGTTTGCAGTAGCTGAACATGGTTTATGTTGTCGAGGACTGCAGGACTAACCACGGCTTTATTAAATGACAAGCTCCGCGGAGGATGGAAAATTATTTTCTCACAGTGTCCGGATTTTCCTTCCCCTGATTTCTGAGCCACAGGATTCAATAAACATCCCGTGTAAACGCTCTGAGGGCTATGAGGGCCTCGGGTCACTGCGTGTGTTAGTCAGCGAGCGCTTTGAGTTTTATGTGCGTGTCAGTGTTTGTCAGAAGCACCGTTAAATGCTGAAGTTCCCCGTCAGCAACAATCCGGCCATAACTCTGAGTAGCTACTGTGTGTGTGTGTGTGTGTGTGTGTGTGTGTACCTGGTATTTA